GAAGGTGGTGGTGGTGATGATGACGCCTGGCGTTGGTGGTTGTGAGCAACCACCAAGTTTTTGTTAAGAATGATCAAGTGAGTAGATGACCGGCTACCTGGTGTTAACCTGATAAAAAGTCATAAGTGGTAAGATTTGCTCAAATGTTAGGCATTAATGAACATAAATTTATACTTTGGGCATAACCAACTATTTTGTATAAAATTAGGGGTTTTTATGACAAAAACCCTTATTTTATTAGTATTTATTAGTATAGAGGTAGATTTAAATTTAATTTTCATATTCTCGAACCTCGCACTTCGTTTACATGCATTTCAATAAAGCATGTTTGCTTGTTATTGATTAAAGTGGACTTCTACAAATCGACGATAGCTGACACTACAGCAAATTTGACAATACAATTTTATTATTTGGTGGTTGGGGCATCCATCAATAATCAACACTATTCTTCAAACTACAAAAAGAAAAACACAATTAGTTGTTCAAAACACCAAATTCAACAATAATATAAGAATCTCATAAGAATTAGTGTGTGAAAGGACAACTGAGCCTCAACCAAAGGCTAAGGGGACTGTTACCATAGATGACCCTGGAGCATAAAATTATGCTTGCGAGTCCATGATACTCCAAATTTAAAATCCACAAGGCTTTCACAAGATATTATAACATAACTATTTCTAATGGACTAATGTTACACTAATCATGTTAAAGAACTCGTACAATGAATATCATGTATTTTAAATATGAAATGTGTTGGTGATTTATGTTAATGATTAGGGTTTAGGCCCAAACCCATTAGGGTTTAGATTAGATATTTTATGTATCCCTATTTATATTTATGAGGGTTAAATTTATCAATGAAGCATTTTATTATATAACATGGTATCATAGCTCTAGGTTAAAATCCTACTACTGACCACAACCCGCTACCGCCGCCCTCCACCTCCGAGGACATTCTCTCATAGTCGTCGGAGGTGCTTTCATTATGTTTCATATTCTCTTCGTTTGTTTGTTTTTTCTCCTCCTATATAATAAAACAACCGCCGACACCAAACTAGAGTTTTTACATCGACTTCTTCTACTGCGTCATTTGCTTATGTCTCCTCGTCGGATGGCTCCCGCCTTTAAGCTTTTTGCCTTCTCCTTAACTTGCCTCTTCTTCATATCTATTTTCTAAGTCAGTCGGAATAGGCTCCGTCCGCCGCAGCTCGAGCCCTCTTTCTTTCTCACTGCTTTTCTCTGGACTCCTCTATCGCCGACTCGATGACCGTCGTCGTCGCCGCTCCTCTCTTCATATACAAAGGAACCACCGTTGGCCGCCACTTCTTCTATCTCATTCTCCAATGAGTAGTTGTTGTTAGCCGTCATCGTTAGAGCTCTGCCACCGTCGCTGCCGCTGTCTTCATTCAATTCGAGACAAGTTCAATACCTTTTGGTTATGTTCCGAGACAGCATGTGCGAAGGGCACACCCAAATATAAGGACTCGGGAACGTAGGGGTCTAAGGGCAGTTCCCCTGGTGGGGTTCCAATGGGTGTCTCTCCTAGCGGGGTGTAGGGATAGCACCCCTAGCGGGGTCCAAGGGGAAGATTCTTGGAAATCCACAAGGAAAAATTGGGACAGCCGGACTTTCTAGCACACAACGCAACATTTAACATCCATTACAAAAGGGGCGTTGTTTTCTTCATAAGAGTCGTTATCCTCGTATATATGAGGAATATGAACGGACAATGGAACATCTGGAGAATAACTGCTTCTTCTCTCTGCACTTTATCTCTAGAAAACACATTCAATCATAAAGTATTTATGTGTTTTATAAATTGAAATAAACATGTATTCCATTTTGATTTGTTCGTGGATTATCGCAAATTGGATTTCATGATACCCAAGGTAATTGGGTCGAAATCATAGATTTTGAAAAGTATTTCTCATACACGATCTGTGAATTAACCAAGTGATTATGTTGATATTCGAAACCCAAAATCTAACAAAATGTATAATAGACAAGCTAGAAATATTTTCATCTGTTATAAGTAAATACATCTCCGATCAATCGGAAAAAACAAGACCAGAACACGGACTTTAAAGATAAAATCCCGACACACTTGTTTATATGTGACCAAAAAATATAAGACCAAATATAAAAGGGTTAAAAGATTTCTACACTATAATCCTCTCCTCTATTATCTTTCCTGAAATATCAAACAAACCATACCAACAAAAGTCTTTTTTCTCTACTTACATTTGCCCTAGGCCTACCCATCAACAGTTAGAACTTATTTTTCTATTGTTGACTTCATCATATACTCACTCTGCAGTTATTCTATTCCCTACCTACTTTACTCATCTTCACCAGCCGGAATATTCAAATCCGGAAGCACAAACTCATCACCTTCATCTTCACCTTCACCTTCACCTTGTTGCTGCAATTGCATATCCATCTGTAACATCACAATGCAATGTAATCAGCGATTCCATTCCCCATACCAAACCGATCCTTAATTTATATGCATTTCAATGAGTTTTTGATATTTACCTTCATTTTCTTGAGGCTCTCGTTTTCGTTTCTTTGTTTCTCAATTGTAGCTTGTAGGGTTGCTAGTTGCTGCATTAAAATGAAATATAAATTAGCTTAAATAATCGATGGTGAATGGGTTACTAGGTAGTAGCTATGAGATGAATTTAACGTACTCTCTTTAGTTGCTTTCTTTCTTTTAATAAAAATGACTCGTCCTCTTTAAGTTCAGCCAATGTCTACAAACATCATCAGAAAAAGAAAAACAAAGATAAGAACTCCATTGATGAGACACATGGGATCATGAGGTGCATTGTAGAAGAAAGAATTACCTTCTTTTTTCTTGGCCTCTTGGTAGGGGTTGTTTCATTTGGTCTTGCAACCTGAAAAAAATAACAAAAACAAAAGGTTTAGAAAATAAAGTGGGACCCACAATTTATTTATAATTAAAACTATCGAAATGGAAATCTTTATCTTTGATTTTTACGAAATAAAGAGGATAGGGGTATGCCCCTACAATATGCAAACAGTTGTCTTATTTGAAAGGCAATATGTTTGTCTTGTAACACGTAGAAACCAATGCGTAGCTTAGGATTAAAGTCAAAGACCCTCCCAAGTTCCAACAAAAAAGTGCATTTTAGAATTTAAAAGAATTTGGAGACTGCTTTTTTCTCATAATTTAACCCCTTCGCTATTTATTAAAAATAAACAAGAATCTTTCTTTTTCAATCTTTACTAAAATAAAGTACTAAGAACGTGATATCTGTCTTTCTCTTAAAATTTTGAAATAAGAATCCTTTGGGGAATAATCAAATCACGAATTTGAACCTGAATCAAGCCATTTAACATTACTCCGAAAGGAAGTGTAAACATTTCAGTTTGTCTTTTCTAGAACAAAAACTGGCAAATACTTTAACATTACTCCCATTTATGCATCACATTTTCTAAACGATTAAATATACAAAAATTTACCTTATTTTACCATTTTACGTAACATTTTATATTAAAAAGTTCAAAAATAGAAAATTGGTTTCATTAAACGGTTAAAAAAATTATGTTACATAGAAAAGTTAAGATATATTGTTTTATTAAAAAAAATCAGAACTTCTTTTAAATTAGCCACTGTTATAAAAGAAACTTTATAATATAAACACACAATATTTCCAAGATAAAATATCATGTGATGAAAGAAATCTTGCTTTTAAAGATTGGGTAAAACCTCAAAGCACATAACTCATCATTCATCAAAAACAAAAGCAAAATTTAATTCGTCATAACTATTTTTATCAATTACTATATTATTTTAGTTTGCATAAATTCATAAAAGAAAAAGAAAGAAATAATTTGACTGTACATAAATGGTTTGTATTTTTATTAAAGGAAAAAAGAAAAAAATAAATAAAGAAATCTTGTCATGCACGAACCATTTATGATTTATTTCACAAGGATTCTAAATTCTCTAATGGGCTGGGACCAATCTGTTGTTTATAAAAGGATAAGGGCTAAGGTAACCTACCACTATAAAATTAATTAAATAACAGACACAATCCACACCCTTAAAAGTGTAGAAACAACATCCTCGCTTTTGACTTTTTCAACGATCACATGGAATTCCTTTTATGACTAATAGAAATGAACAAGGAGATACGTTTGCACACAAGTCCCAACACCGCGACACACTGGATTACAACCCTTCTTCTTCTTCCACACACCCAATAAAGTGCACAACTACTCGCACCAAACACTCACACACACACCCTTAAACTTGCCACGAAAACACGCCATCGACAGAACTCGGATATACCCACAAGTGGAATGACGAAAAAGCCCCTAAGTGTTGTTTTGCGGTTTTGGTCGAGTGGCCCTCGTCTTTTTCAACCAAATCTAGATGGGTATTGACTTTGACGGATGGTGTACACGAGTCATGAGTTTGTGAACTACCATAAACGTATGAATTGACTAAACTCTCCTTTGGGAGGAACTAGGAAGGGTATTTTCGTAAGAGTGTGGGAGAAAAACGTGGAAAGTCGTTCGATTTCTGACTCTATGCGTCGAAGGGAAGTCACCTGCTTCTCCTTTGGAACAGTATTTATTTATTATTTAATATAATTAATTACTCATGGGGTGTATTAAAAAGGTGGAAAAAGGGTAGAAAAGTATCATGAGGGGCAATTCGGTCAACGGTAGAAAATGGTGGAATCTGACGGCATCGGAAGTATACATAATATACACAACCGATGAGATCTGAGTTCGGTGGTTCTGCATGGGACGAGGGTAGAATGGTAATTCAACAAACTGAAAAACCGGTAAAGTGGGGTGTTCGATCTGACAAAAATCCTAAACCGGTGACCTGTAAATCAGGCGACCTACAAGGGGTATTATGGGGAATACTGATTAATAACCGTACCGAGAAACACGAGAAACGAATGAGAAGAGCCACGCGCCACCGTCTAAAACCAGCTGAACGACCGAAAACAAACCATACACACCACCACGATAACACAACAACGTATAGACGTAAAAGAGTTGTGCAACGTACAAACCTTAGATCTCGAAATATCGGAGCGGTTTTGAATTGGTTTGCTTGACTCCTCGATACCGCCGCCGCCGCTGATGGAAGTGGCACCGCTCCAGGACAACGGAGTGGTAGGGCTAGCTCTAGCGGCAGGAGATTTCTTAGCGGCGGCAGGTGCCACCACAACCTGCGGTCTGGAACGGCGCTGACGGATGCTCCAACCAAGTGGAGGCGACTTGTGGTGCGACGCCGACGCCGGTTGACGGAGTGTGAATAGAACCTGAACCACCAAGTCCGTGTCATCCATGGCCGCTGTCACCCAGTTATCATCACTCATGTTATCGATTGCGAGATTGGAAGAGAGAGAGAGAAAGAGAAAGGATGAGAATGGTGCTGGTGGCAGAGAGAAAGTAGGGAAAATAATAATGGGGGTTAGGGGTGGGCTTTATATGTATTTATTATGTGTGTATGTGTGTGTGTTTTGAAGAAAGAGTACATATGGTATTTGTTGGTGTAGGAACGAATGGGTGGAGCTTGGTGTGATGAGGGAGGGGTGGGTCCCACTTGTAGTTGAGACGTGGAACTGACCGCCCTCTTGCCCTTTTTCTTCTTTTTTTCGTCTGCGCGTTTTGTGCACAAATGGAAAGTTCAGGGTGTTAACTTGTAAATTTACCAAATTGGCATTACCTTCAAATTTGGAAACTATCCAAGTTTTAAGCTTGAAAGAAAATATATACGATGATTTGAGTTTGTTTTATTTTAATTTGTATGGAGAAATCGTAATTTGGGTTACGTAAAAGGATAATTGGGCTGCCAAAATGGGTTTCAAAAAGGCCATAGTGCTCCTTCTATTTAAGGTAAAGAAAAAAATATATTATTTATCTAACATTTTTGTATTAGATGTTAAAATAAGGTTGAAGACAACAATAATAGAAGGAATATAGTAAGTTTTTAAGTTTGTTACATTTGTATACATTTATAATTATGTTAAATTTCATTTTTTTCCGGTATTAAAACATTTCTATTTGTCAAATGGAAGTCTCGCATGATATTACACATGTGACATCTGTGAAAAATATCATTTCCACCTAGGAAAATCTCATTTTCACAAGGAATTATATTTTTCATAAACTTAGATGCGAAAATACTAGATCCACCTATCAGGATAAGATTACTTAACCAAGGGTTGAATTAGGTTGTGTTTGGCGCCACAGCTAGCTGATAAACTAACTGGTTTTTCGAGCTTTTTGAAGTTGTCATTTGACAAACCAAAAAGTAGCTTATAAGCTAGCTTTTTAAAAAGCTACTTAGACTAGCTTTTTAGGAGTTTTTTTTTTCCAAATATACCCCTTAAGTAATTATAGAAACACATTCTTTTTTAAATGTCATTTTATATATTTCAGCTAGTTTTACCAAAAAACATTTTTAATCAACTAGTTTTTCAGCTATCAGCTAGCTTTTCATTTAACAACTAGTTTTTCAGCTATCAGCTAGCTTTTCAGCTAGTATCCAAACATAGCCTTAATCTCCAAGTAACGTTTGCGGGTTTTTTTTTTATCTTAGGTCAATTTGTCATTTGGACAACTAGAGTTTTGTCTTATAATTGTATTTTGATTCAGCCGTATTACAAGCTAAAAGAAGGAATTAAAGCTCGTTATCTTGATGTTTTGGGAAAGTGTGTTCACGAACAATTTTGAATCTGCATTTGATATTAGAGGATTGAAATAATCTAATATTTAAAGAAAGTGTCAATCACATATCGTACAAAGATGTATTGGCCATCACATATCGTACAAGGATGCATCGGCCATTGAGAGATTATTTTCATCATATTCTTTTTGTTGGATTTCTTGGATGTGATATCCTTCCTAATTATTACCATGCATAATATCCTAGTTAATAAAAATTTGGCAAAGTAACCATATGTCAATTTTACATCATTCTCAAAAAATCATCAAAATAATAAAAAAAATGGCTATTGAAAGTTCATGGCTTTTTCTTAATTTTATATCTAAAATGAACGTATTTATCAACCATAAAACTATACTTTGATAATCATATCGATTGTACATCATTTCATACAATTATCATTCAAATTAATAAAAGAAGGTCACGATTAATTAAGATATTAAACAATAACTTAAGTGCCTTCATACCAGATATAGGCATTACTAATTTACATGTCAATAAAAAAACGTATCACATCATACATACTTATAAAGCTAGCATTTTTTTTTGAATCTCATGCATTTAAAACCCTATTTTTTAACTTCCTTTCACCACATTCATTTGAAACTCCTATGACTTTTCAATTTCTTTACAATAATATTATAAATAAGTTAAATAATGTTCTATAAACAAGAAATGG